ATGGGAACAGTGCTGGGGAATTGGGGGAAGGGGAACAGACAAGTTGCTGTCGTTTTGTTCTTCAGTCTAGTTGTGGAGAACGTTGCTTCACTGGCCCAAGTTGGTACCATCATTGCGTTCTTCCTGGGTGAGGCAGATCAGTCGCTGGCTTCTGGACGGCTGCTCACTGCGACTGCTAGCCGCTCACGCTGGCTGCTCGCTACATACTGTAGCTCATGGCAACCCACTACCACAGGGTCTGCAGCCTACGCCGTCGCTGGCGACTCATGGCAGCCCAGCTCCCGGCCGAGCTGTCATTCAGCATCTTAGCTGTGGAGGGCAGCGTCACTGGCTCTCACATGTGGGATCTGAACCGGGGCCCTCTGGCGTCCCAAGCCAGCCCCCAACCATCGCGCCACTCGGCCCCTTTTTTTTAACTTTGTTGGGGAACAGTGTGTTTTTCCCAGGACTCATCACTCCAAGTCAAATTGTTGTCCTTCAGTCTTAGTAGTGGAGGGCGCAGCTCAGCTTCAAGTTCAGTTGCCGTTTTCAATCTATTGGGTTGTCAGAAAAGTCATGACACATGTTTGCAACAGATGGCACTAGTTCATTTTTGGAAGTACTAGAGTCATTCACATCTATGTTATTGCTATGTCATTTGACAGCTGACAGTTCTAGCTTGATTCTAAAAAGAAATTGAACAATTTGGTTGAGTTTTGGAGACTTTACAACAAGTTGAAGATGGAAGACCAAACTGTGCATTTTTGCCATATTTTACTGTTTTACTTCCATTAAGGGAAGAATGTGCATCAAGCTTGTGAAAAGTTGCATCAAGTTTACAGTGACAATGCTTTACAAGAACGTCAGTGCCAACGATGGTTCATGAAATTCCGTGCTGGTGATTTTGATCTCAACCACGCTCTTTGGTCAGGGAGGCCCACCGAGGTTGATGACGACAAAATAAAGGCACTGATCGAATCAAACCCACGTTACATGACACGAGAGATTGCAAAACCATTGAACATTCATTATTCAAGCGTTCACGACCACCTGAAGAAGCTGGGATATATAAGCAAGCTCTGTATTTGGGTTCCGCATGAACTCAAAGAAGTTCATTTGACAGCGCATATAAACATCTGCAATATGCTCATTAAACGTGAGGGAAACGATCCTTTTTTTAAGCGACTGATAACTGGTGATGAGAAGTGGATTGTTTACAACAACGTGGTGTGCAAACGGTCTTGGTCCTGAAGGACGTGATGATTCGCCTCAACATCGAAAGCAGACATTCATCAGAGGAAGGTTATGCTCTCAGTGTGGTAGGATTTTAAAGGTGTCGTGTTTTTCGAGCTCCTACCAAGGAACCAATCAACTTGAATGTGTACTGTCAGCAATTGGACAGTTTGAGCGAATCCATCATCCAGAAACATCCAGAGCTTGTTAATTATAAAGGAGTTGTGTTCCATCGCCACAACATGAGACCACACACAAGTTTGATAACTCGTCAAAAATGATTGGAGCTTGGATGGGATGTGTTGCTACACCCACCATACTCGCCTGACCTTGCGCCGTCAGACGTCCACTTGTTTCGCTCTCTTCCACCAAACACCTTGCGTGGTATAACGTTCAGTTCAGATGAGGCTGTAAATAAGCACCTTGTTCAGTTTTTCGCAAATAAAGACAGGTCCTTTGATGAACGAGGAATTATGAAGCTCACTGAAAGTTGGCCAAAGGTTATCGAACAAAATGGGCAATATATCATTGATTGATCTTTGTTCTTTATATAAATAAATGACCTTTGAAAAACAGACAAAATACTACATGACTTTTCCGACAACCCAATAGTTGTGGGGGGACACAGCCCACCATCCCATGCGAGAGTCAAACTGGCAACCTTGTTAAGAGCATGCTCTCTAACCAACTGAGCCATTCAGCCGCCCAACAGCAGCTCAGCTGCAGCTCAGCTCAAGTCGTCTTCAATCTAGTGCAGCTCACTGGCCCATGTGGGAATCGAATCGGCAATCCTGTTGCTCAGAGCTCGCGCTCTAACCAACTGAACCACCCGGCTGCTCCCAGCATACTCTTAATGGTGCTTGCTTCTGGCAATGTGTCTTGCCTTTTTTTTTTTTTGAAAGAATTATAGACTTAAGGAATTTTTAAAAAAGCAATAAAATCAAGATAGTTAAATGACTAAAATTCTGCCTTCCCAGAAATATATGAAAATTAAAAATTTTTGTATTATTTTGGTTCTTTGTAATGATCTTAAGAGTAAAATATTTTCTATTTCAAGATAGCAGACTATGCTTTGCTAGGGAGTGTGACCATGCTACCTTCCCCTTCTCTCCTTCAATTTATAAAGTACTTCTGATGCCTTAGAAGGATTAATGTAGGTAGTTAGGTTGTATTGTTTTCTTTGGCACCACTGACTCTTTTTTTTATTTTTTAATTTATTTTTCCATTATAGTTGGCACACAATGTTGTATTAGTTTCAGGAGTGCAACTTAGTGATTAGATATTTATATACCTTATGATGGTATGATTGATCTTAAAAATAAATTGCTCCACTAAAATTCATCTAGAAATTTTATTTGGGAAAACATTTCCAGAAGTGAAAAAGTTATTTCTGCTTATTTTAAGTACTTTTCTTAGGGAGTGTATAATGATTAAATATTAGATATCTTAAACCAAATTTCCTTAATAAAGCTTATGTTTGAATCAGTCCTTTGTGCCCAGAAAGCTAAAGCAGCACTCAACGGAGCAGATATATATGCTGGATGTTGCACACTAAAAATCGAATATGCAAGGGTAAATATTTTTTTCAACACTTTTCCAAAGAAATATTTACGCTTTGGATATATAATTTGAACTTATTATTTTTTTAATTTTAACAGCCAACTCGCCTAAATGTTATTAGGAATGACAATGACAGTTGGGACTACACTAAACCATATTTGGGAAGACGAGGTAAGTATTTTATGCATTTTAGAATGTACTTAACATCTGCTGACAAAGTTTTACATGCAGTTAGATTCCTTTTTCCTGAGACGAGCTAGTTCATTCAAATGAAAATCTTGTTGGTGAATGCTTTTGTTGCAAAAGGCCATGTAATGCTGGAAAATAACCTTGAACATTAGTGCCCCCTTCTGGTATGTACTGAGTTATTTATATTTAGTTCAACAAAGGAGCCCACACATACAAGCACGCCCGCAGTTCAAGGACTTGCATTTCTCCAAGCAGCTCTCTCTCTTTGGAGGAGAGGAAACTGATTCAGAATATTCCTTACAAACTGCAAACTTGCACACTGCTTCTCTATGGAAAGAACTTTCCCCCCAAGCTGGACGAGGCATTAAGAAGGCTAGAGGATTCCAGCAGGCTGACTCTACACTTCATCATGCACAACATCGGCACCAGCAAAAGCCCTCTGAAAAACTCAGACTTGCAATTCACCTTGACTGCATACTGCATGCACCATCACCCCAAGTTTTTAAAGGAGGACACTTAACAGTACTTCAGACTTGGCATGGGATGAACACCATGATAGACTGTGCCCTTTTATTCACATTGTATGTATATATTGGTCTGATTTCCCTTAAGGTTTCAGCTGTAGAATTTAAGACTTCACTAACGATACTAGACTTTATCTACAATGTTGTAAATGTTAATGCCCATTACTTGTAACTGTTTGCAGCTTAGATTCAAATTGTTAATTGGCAAATAACCAGGGCCCATTTATCTATAGGTCTCGGGAATTGATTATGCTCAACCAATCCACACAGATATTAAAGATAAAAGGATTAGAAAGGTGCACACTTGCTGCACTCTACTTTTTTTTCCTCAAGTGTGGACATTGAATAGAATAATATAATGAAAAGGTGCATTATATGTAAAAGGCGATTTCCTGTGTGGTTTGATTTTTGTAAAGTGGCTGTTTATAAGTTGTTACTTTTTGTAACAATTACTCATGTTAATTTGTATAACTAGAAATTTTGACATTTCAAATGTAGGTGAAAGTAACATGTCTGTTGAAGGTAGAATATATTTAAACTTGATAAATCTGAAAAGAGCATTTCATTTGAGATACATTTTCACCTAAAACTTACAAATGCTAGATTTCATGAGCATAGATTTGACTGATAACGTTGTTCAACTAACTGTGTGGCACGTCTGGAATATACAGATTAAAATGTGGATCTTGTAAAAACAAGGGGGCTGCAGTATTGGCTACATCTCAACTACAATATCAGTGTGTGAACCATATGTTAGAAAAACTCACTGAGTGTATTTGTAAAACTCAATAAGTTAGGAAAAATTTTTATGGCATCCAAAATATCTCGGACAGTAGGGACTCTATAGTGCATGCACTCTTGCCAAAAGCAAATGCAATGCAATGATTTGCATGTTCAAATATTTAGAACTTTAGGATGATTGGCCCCTTTAATTCTCAATTCTCAGGAAATCATCTCGCCTTATGTATGGGGTTGCAAACAGGTTTGTTTTGTAATGCAGCTTTGGCTGGACCCCACATTTTTCAGTACTCACAGAAATCTACTTGATACAGGCTTGGTGCAGTTGAATACAGTATTGGAAAATAAAGCCTTAGTACTCAAACAATGAAACAAGTGGTTGATGAGAAATCTCTCACTTCTGTCAAATTGCAGTCAGTTATTGAACTTTAATTTTTGTTGTCGTTATTTTTTACCCATTTGAAATAGTGAGTTTTGGTTACATTTCTCTTAATGTCTCTTAAAACATTTATAGATACGCTTATTATAATAATGTTAACATCTGTTCTTTTAAAAGATCTAAAATTTAGTACACAGAGCCGGCTTAGATTAGTTTTTCATGGAAGGAATTACAGTCAGAAAGGTAGATATTTAAATAGTAAAATATAATTAAAGGAAGTAAAATAGAATTTTAGTTTCTACTTTCAAGGGAAAAGATTTCTTATTTTCTAATTTCTTACAGAGAGTTGCTTGTCTGGCAAGATGATAGCAGTTTATGTTTTTGTAGTGATTTCAGCTTCCACTCAAGTTGATAATGAACTATAACTTTTTCTACCAAAAAGAGAGAACTTTTATAAATATAACATCATTTTTAAAAGTCCTTTTCAGCTTGCATTTTAGTGTAAAGAATTCTTAGCCTGGACTTTAGAGAATCCCTCCAGAAATGTTAAGCAAAACTTGTGTATATGTGCATCTTTTTGGGGAGAAAGTCCACAGCTCCCATCATATTGCAGATGAATCCAGAAAAGGTTACAAACCACTCTTTATAGGCTGATGTACTCAATGTTTGACTCTTCTGCACACTTCTGTTATGTGACCTTATATTAGATAATGAATGCTTCAAATAAAGAGAATTATTAATAATGAGAATATGTGGCTGAAAGACACCTTGGAGATCATCTACCTTAACTCCTTTATTTTATAAATGAAGATTGTTTCTGTGATTATACAGCAAATTAGTGGTTAAGTTGAGATCTGATTCCTAATCCAGTGCTCTTTCTTTTATAGCACACTGTTAACTGTATCAATAAAACTGAGCCTTGAAGACATGGTGGTTTGGGTTTAAGATTCCTGGATCAGATAAGGAATTGTATTTAGTGTTTGATGGCTTAACTAGAGGAGTTTTAGCAGACTATATTAGCAAACTGGATTGATTCAAGAGGGGTGAGACTTGATGCTGGAAACCATGTAATGGAGGAAAGAAGGAACTGTGGATGTTTAGACTGGAGAAGAAACGACTTTGGGGAAATGGGGGAAGGATCATAATAGCTTTTAAGCATTTGCAAGGATTTGTGGAAAAAGACAAAGTCTGTGAGGTCCCAAATGGGATAGAATATGTGTAGAGGACCAATTTCCATACAATATAAAAACTAATTTTTTGATGCTTTAGGACTAACTGAAAATGTAAGGGAAAGTGGTGAATACCTTGTTACTGGTGTTGGTTAAGCAGAGGCTAGATGGGCCCTGTTGATTGGGATGATGTAAAGAGAATTTATACGCTGAATAAAAGTTGAACTAGATGACCTCGTAGGTCCCTTTCAGTGCTGTGATAACTTGGAATAGGTAATTAAAACTATTCTTCTATAGACTGAAGTGAAAGTTAAAGTATTTCTCATCTCCCATAAACCTCATTTGTTTAGGTGACTAAGGATATATAGAAAGCCTCTCTCTGAATTTTCAGATTAGAATGCCGGACTCTTAAGATACATTAAAAAAACAACAAAAAAACAACTCACTGGATACTATGCTTTGGTCAGCAGACTTTCTAAAAGTATTGTACAATGGTTTTTAAAATTTAACAAACATAGGAAGTGCTGTTTTAGAAACTTATGAATCACTTTTATTGAAGTCTCAAATTAGATTGAAGAAAATTGGCATGCCTTCCCTGAAAATGTAGCTAGAATAAAAATTATCCTTTAGGAGTATTGTAGTACTCTCATCCAATAATGTAGCCCCCTTGGTTAGCTTTCTCTTGGCATATTAAACTTTGGGGGGTGCTCATAGTTCTGCCTGGTGTTAAGATCTATAGACAATGACCAATCCATGATATACGGGCCAGTGATGTGCAGATTTCCAGGTCTCAAGTCTCTAGGTGTTTGTAAATATGTGTATATACATACAAAATACTCTGTGTTTACTGATTGTGAAACCATGTAATACAGGTTGTTGTTGGCTTATGCTGAACTTCTTGAAAGAAGCCCACTTTGAAAATGTGTTGCTGTTGAAGCTAATAGTATGATTCAGGTACTGTCTTTCCAAAGTACTGCACTTAAAGCTTGTTTTAAAGACATGTATTGGTAAAAACTTCTGTACAATGTCAAACTCTAGCATTGTGTACATTCACTTTCTGAAAAGTATCCATTCTTTCCTTAAATTTGAACGTGTGATTGTATTTGGCATTTGCCAAAAAGATATTTTCAAGTTAAGTGGAGTTTGTTAGATAGAATTACTTTCTTAAATTTTTGGTGTTTGTATTTAAATTGGATATGAATGGATGTTTAAAGTTAACCAGGAATCATATTTCTTTATGAATTGTAATGGATGTTTTGAATGGGTGTTTCCCATGTGAGAACTCTGTTAAGTACTTGGGTCAAAATTGTTAAAACCATGTTTCTACTTTTGTGTCAGATAGAGGAAAGGGTCGCCAGAGACAAGCCATTTTGGGAGAACACCCTTCTTCGTTTAGACATGATGGCTATGGTAAGTTTGTCAAGGCAGAAGGAAGGTGGTATAGATGAACTGTTAGAAGTTTTGCATTTCTGATGAAGAATGGCACATTTCTTGTTTCTATTTTTCCTGCTTACCTGACTTGGTTTATATGGGATCAGTCCCTTATAATGTACTCCCAAGGAGTTGTCCAAAATCCTCTGCTTTTTTAGAATATTGATATGTAATCCTTGAAATATATGAGAGCTATTGGTTGGGAATTGAAAGCTTTTTCCATTACAATTTGTTTTGTTTTGTCTTGGTTTTGATTAGTAAAGGGCTCTGGTCTGTTAGAGGACCAAAAAGAAGTATTATTGCTCATTAAGTGTATCTTCTTCCATTCTAGCAATTATGAGCAAAGAGGAATTTTGAGTAATAAAGGCAGAAAGAATGGGGCATTTGTTGAACAGGAGACATATTTCTGGTTAGATCCTTAATTATTTTTGTTCTATAGTTGCTATTTTGGCTTTGGTTAAATTGGTTCATATTTAAATTTGTTAAAACTTCTTTAGTTTTCATGTTTGCTATGTTGATTTAAGATTATGAAACATAGAATAATAAACTTCCTCAGGAAAAAGTTAAGTATGAGACTATTGCTCTTGTAAGTAGATGTTGAGAATTGATATTGATAAGACAAGTGTGGTATAGAATGAAAATCTTACTACTTACAGTCATTTTAATGAGTGGTCCTTGATCATTTTTCTTAGTTGTTTCTTTAACATTAAACATGGTCGTATGGGTAGTTGTGATCCTGCAGTAAAGAAACACTTGGAACCCACTGTGCTTTGCATAATGGAGAGTTACAAAAGAATTGCCAATCACAAACAAGTAGTGTTGTTGTAGAATATATAGCTGTGTCATGGCAGTTGGGTGAAGGCTAGAAATTGCCAAAGTGGGCTAGAAAAATCTGAAAGAATAAATGAAGAACAAGGAATTCTACTGTAGTAATGTCGACACAGACTGTTTTCTCAGTGTGTTTTCAGGTTTGCCTTCCTTTATAAAATATATCTTACCAAATACTTGTATAAACAAAAATGTTATATGCCCTCGAAGAACTTTATATTTTTAAAAGCGTATTTTGAAATTCTTTGTCAGTTTCATGCCCTAATTTATTTAGAGTGTTTGTGTGTGTATATAAATTTTAAAATGTAAACTTACTTAGAGAAGAGGTGCAGAATTCTTTGGAGTGATGGTTGCTAAATAGGGATCTTTCAGGCTCTGGAGAGTTCTGAGGAGGAATGATTGTGGTGGGTTTGTGTAGGAGCGTCCATTGAAACGTTTAACTGACGATAATTCTACTTTCCTAGGGAAGTAAGCAAAATAGGGTACAGAAGGTTAGAAGGGGGAGAGGGAGAGATGCATAAAAAGGGGTAGAAAAGAGAAGTAAGATGAGGAAATTGGGGAAAAGGCAAAGAAGATGAGAGTAGGTGCTAGTGATACTCTTTACAAACTCTGCGAATCACAGCTGTCCATTAGTTTCCGCAGTTCAGAAAAACAGGTTTATTATTATTTTTGTGTTATATCACGTGTGGCTTCTCCTTTGTGTTGGTGTGTTAAAAAGAAGGAATAGAAAAGGTTTAATAAATTAAAATTATTTAGTTTATTATAGCAGTATAAGTCTGTGCTTTGAGAACCCTTTTAATTTGGGAAGCCCAGCCCTATGAGATGAACTGGTAGAGGCCCTCATACTTGAAAAGTGGCATAAATAAATATACAGATTCATTTGCTGTGAGCCCAAGAAAAGTTGGTATATTAATTGCTAGCATCTTTGGATATAATTCCTGGACCAAAGATTTTAGAGTGTCAAAGATGGAAAATGACTTCAAAATGCTAATAATGCCAATTATGTAGCATTTTCCTACGTAAGTGAATTTTTTAAATACCTGAAGCATTAGTGTTTTAAGCACTAAAACTTTTTTGCATTTAAAAGACTTCTGTTTTTTCTTATTTTTTTAAACAATATGGGTAACAATTTATTTCTATAGGTAAGATAATTTAATTCTGATGGCTCAAGGTAATAATTTCAAAACATCAGTTATACTCTTGCACTGAATTTGATTGTTACCTATAGCAGTGGATGGTAAAGTTTTTGGACCTTGCCCAACTTAAGCAGAGTGGAAGGTTTCCACTGTCTATCTACCATACATCTTTCCATTTTCCATAAAAAAGAAAATTTAGTGATAATAATAAAGTGTCATTACTGTACAAGCAAATGGTAATAGTTGGGGGAGCAATATAATATGTATATATACTGTATATATACTTTTACAGTAGGGATAAGAATGATTGATATATGACCTCAGTGTATGTATAGCAGTTTAAATTAGAGGCCAAAATATGTATAGTTACTAACAAGTAACTCACCATGAGCTATACTGATTGTTTTGATAAATTACCAATTACCAGCAAGAAGAGCAGTTGAAAACCTTGACCGACCAATTTAAGGCAACACTGATGACGATGCTCTGGTAAAGTATTGCTCTATAAAATTGCAGGAATTCACACCACTTGCATGTGCTTCGTGGTAGTGCTTCTGTGTTGTTAAGAATGGCAGGTGTGGAGGGCTGGCCGAGTGGCTCAGTTTGTTAAGAGCTCACTCAAGAGTGCAAGCTCTGAGCAACAGCAGTTCGATGCCCTGCCCGAGGTGAGCTGCCGCTGAGCTGCCAACAGGTGGCAGGATGGCTCAGTTAAAAGAAAAAAGAATGGCAGCTGTGTATAGAATGCTGAATACTGAATTGGAGTCTACATAACCCCTTAATAGCATGCTATGATATCAAAATATAGTAGTTTTAGTAACTCACTTAGTAGATAGATGACAAGTGTCCCTTAGTCTTAACATAAAAATGAAAGTCAATAGCATTACCTACTGTTTACTTCTTCAGAAACAAGGAAAGGACTTGGGAATTTGGATTGGTTTCTTGTGCATCAGGAGGACCTTTGCATGTATCCCACAAGATGCTTCTGTAATCACTAACTCAGGAGCGCCTAAGATGTGTGGGTTTATATTTCTGAGCGACCTGTCTCCAGCTTAGTTGCCTCTTCAGAGACGCCTCTCTTTTTGTTGCTGCCCAGTGTGCCCTTTGCCTACTTTTAGTATCACAATTTCTCCAGACCCCCCCCATTCCTGTCAATTCCATTCAATCTAGCTTTATTTCTCTTGTTACTTCTAATCTGTAGTGGATGAGAAAACCAGGTAAATTAAAGTTGTGTAGAACTACTCTAAAGTTGGCAGGTTGCTTCTTAAGGTTTCTCAGTATGAGACATAGATTTGTGTGTGTTTCTGTGACATCAGGTTCAGATACTCAGGCATTTTCTTCTGGTTCTTGATGTGGTATCAAAAAATAGAGGTTGTTAAATAATGACACCTGAATAGTGAGGAATTAAGTAAATCTATGGTTTTAGTTACCTAAATTAGAATTGGAATAAAATGCTAACCTGAAAGTACATTATAGTAAAATATATTTAAAGGAGACAACTTTTCAGTGGAACTACACATGTTCTTTTTGTTATATCTGTATAGAGATAGTTTTCTAGATTTCACTGTGTTATTGTATTGAACTCCAAAAGATGTTGGCAGGAGGTAATTTTTTAAAATTTGGGGTATAATGTATATACAGTGGCTCAAACCTCCTCTTATCTATGGCCTGATCTTATATACTTTTTTTATGTGGAACTACTATTTTTTAAATATATATACTTAAAGCTTGATGTGTGTAGGTCAATGAATATTGGATCTGGTACAAATAAATATAGATTTTATTAATCTCCACAGGTTACATTTGAATATTCACACATTTGAGTTTTTTTGGGACACACATCAAACTAGTTATATTAAGAGTTTATGTTTTTGTGCGGTATATCGTATTTGTTAAAGTTGAGTTTTCTTTCTTTTTTATTTGATCATTTTTCTAGGATCCCATGGTCCATTATTGCCTTTGCCAAGTCGTTACAGAATGGGCTCTCGAGATACTCCTGAGCTTGTTGCGTACCCATTACCGCAGGCTTCCTCCTCTTACATGCATGGAGGAAATCCCTCTGGTTCGGTAGTGATGGTTAGTGGGTTACATCAGCTAAAAATGAATTGTTCAAGAGTCTTCAACTTATTCTGCTTATATGGAAATATTGAAAAGGTAAGTTTCGTTTTCTATTAGTTTCTTTTGCTAAGATACATAGTAGGCAAATCTGAAAAGGCAGCAAATAAGTTCTTCTAGTAGTGAGCCACGTAAGTTAATAATCCATTAAGTAGGAACTCCAGAAATTGTTTTTTTGTTGGTAAGTGACCAGTATAGTTTGTTAGTACTACATGTATATGTATATATATGTATATATTTTTAAGATTTTATTGGGGAATTGGGGAAGGGGAATAGCCAAGTTGTTGTCCTTCAATCTTAGTTGTGGAGGGTGCAGCTAGTTCAGCTCCAAGTCCAGTCACCATCTGGCTGCCCGTCTGCAGCTCACGGCCACTCAACTCAAGGTGCCATGTTTAATCTTAGTTGCGGCGGGGGGGGGCATAGCCCACTATCCCAAGCGGGAGTCGAACTGGCAACCTTGTTAGGAGCACATGCCCTCACTAGCTGTGCCATCCTGCCCCCTGTTGGCAGCTCAGCTTGAGTGCAGCTCCCAGGCTCATGTGGGAATTGAGCTGGTGATGCTGTTGCTCAGAGCTTGCGCTCTTAACCAACTGAACCACTCGGTCGGCCCCTAAAAATGTTTTTTTTAGATAACTAATATAAACGAAAATCCAAAATAGTAGTTGAATCAATTACTAGAGTACTATAGGCATAAAGCTTATATATATATATTTTATCATTTTAAAGAGGTTTTAGCCTTTAACATGCTGAACTGTGGAATTTAAAAGAGCAGTTGCGGGGCCGGCCGAGTGGCTCAGTTGGTTAAGAGCTCGCTCAAGAGTTTGAGCTCTGAGCAACAGCGGTTCGAGTCCAGCCCGAGCTGAGCAGCCGCTGAGCTGCCAACAGGTAGCAGGATGGCTCAGCTAAAAAAAAAAAAAAAAAAAAAAAAAAAGAGCAGTTGCTTTCATGGAGGTTAGGTATACATAAACATGTCTTTCAGAGCTAGGCCACAAGTTGTAAATTATAGGCGAATTCTAGATTTATATACTTGCCTCTCAAATGTTAGAGTTCTAAGTATCTTCTGAGGAACAATGTGCTTTTAGCTCAAGTAGTATTTGAAACTGACCCACTTTGATAGAATATGTCCAAAACTTTCTGTCCAGAGACTAAAAAGTGGTGAAACATTTAAATTTTACATACTTCGAAGATCTGTAAAATTTTGACTTTATTTTCACCAGATAACTCTTGTTTCCCCAGATCTACGATGTTTTGTTCATTGATAATCTCCTAAATCATCCCTGACACAAAGTAGATGCTGAGCTATTTTTGAAAGAATCATGGAAAATTTAACTAGGGAAATGATTGGTAGTCTTAAGTTACCAATTGTTCAGTACACTTGCTAATTTGAGTTTCAGTGCCGTAGTAATGATATTTTCCCTGTTGTTTTAAGTGATTTTAGTGTTCTTTTCACAACAATAAAAAAGTACAAGCATGTGAGTCATAAGTGTGTAGGGAGAGAACATGGATTGAAATGTTGGTATTGTTAGTTCTTACTTCATTAATTCTAAAGCCTCCTTGATCTGAGGAAGCAGCTTGGAAAACCTCAGAAACAAGAATTTCCTCAACATAACTAATGGAGTTACATTAAAAAAAAGAAAGAAAAAGAAAATTCCACATTTGGTCTAGGGGATAACATGGGATATTGCTACTTGTATAACTAGCGGAGAATACATAGGATAGATTTAGCAATATTGGGAAAAGTAGTTCAGATTTTTTTTACATAGACATTTATCTTAGACACCTAGGTGTTTAAAGGTCTAAGAACTGCATGCTTGATAACTAAATGGGCTTTAATGTATATTTTAACTTTCTTTACATAGTGTTACTTTTTTATTTGTGCTTTTCACATTTGTAGATAACTAGGATCAGGCAATTAATTTAACCAGCATCTTTAGTAGATCTTTTGTGTTATGAACTAATTGTCTCATAATTTAGAAACCCAAATCACTGTCTAATAAAACTTATCTTCTGTATGTTATTTGAACAATTCTAGTCTCTTGCATTCCACATCTCAAAAAATTTTTAACTTTTTTTTTTTTTCCTCAGCTGAGCCATTCTGCTACCTGTTGGCAGCTCAGCAGCAACTCAGCTCGGGCTGGGCATCGAACTGCTGTTGCTCAGAGTTTGCACTCTTGGCTAGCTCTTAAACAACTGAGCCACTCGGCCGGCCTAACATTTTAAATGATATATTATGATACATTAAACTCAAACCATCATAATCCTTAAAAGACCTATATGTAGTTAATTTTTTCTAATTTTTAAAAAAGATTTAACAGCACAAGAACTACAAACTTAACATATATATTTAGTCACTATTAGATTTGTAGGATGTTATTGGATTTAATCGAGAGTGAGAAATTTTTCCCACAAGAAGACAATTGATTTCAAATAAAACTGAAAAGTCCTGTTACAGCTGAATTTTGTTCAAGTGCAGGCCTGGTATAAAAATTCTCAGATAGCCCATTACAGTTGACAGTTGGAGTGATGGATATAAATGCTATGTTGTGTTTGCTGCGTAAGTACATTCCCAATATTCCTCTGAGGTTAATAGATAAGGAAGCATGTTCAAGGTGTCATGAACATTACTGGTATTTAGTAGCTATTTACGGACTTGCCAAGGGGTAGGCACTATGCCGAGTGATTATCATACTTTATCCCATCTAACGCTTTACAGCATTTTATACTAAAATTGGAATAATATAAAAGGATAACATGGCCTCTGCCCAAGATGTTATGAAAACTTTTGAAGTATTGCCTGTTTTTTAAACTGCCCCTACCTTGCACAAACCTTACTGGCAATGCTGTCTCAAGACCATCTTGTGTTATTTCTTATATAGGATTTTGTATATTGCTGTAACAGCACCCTGAATATTTGGTAATTATTGCTGACTTTTAAATTTCTAACCTACCTACTAGAATATAAACTTCAAGAAGACCATGTTGTCTATTATGTTCACCATTAAATCCTCAGTACCTAGCACACTGCTTATCAAAACATTAGGCACTTAATAAATATTGATTGAGTGAATAAATATTGATGAGTCCTGTCAGATGTTATTATCTCCATGTTGTAGGGAAGTCTGAAGCTCAGAAAAGTGAGGTAAATTGCCCCGGATTGCAGTTAATAAATAACAGAGCCAGGGTAAGCCTTTGCTCTTCTTCAGTATGCTATACAATGGAATTATAGTCTTTTTAACTTTATTGAATTTTGATATGAATTAAAGTAATAACAGCACAGCAGAATAAAATTAAGATTCCAGGTAACCTTCTGTGTTTGACATCAACCACTTAAACCGTATTGTTTTTTAGAAATTCTGTTACTGTAAAAGGGAATTAAATAGTTATTTTTTTGGGCTTTTGTATTTACAGGTAAAATTTATGAAGACTATTCCTGGTACAGCACTGGTAGAAATGGGTGATGAATATGCTGTAGAAAGAGCTGTGACACACCTTAACAATGTCAAATTATTTGGGAAAAGACTTAATGTTTGGTAAATATCTTAAGTGGTAAATTAAAAACATTTTAATCTTTATCCTTTTTATTAAAGACATTAACTTCAATTTCAGAATATTTTAATGTAACTGAGGGCACATCTGAAACTAGCAGCTGTACTGTTGTCATTTTAGACAAAGTTTTAGGGTCAGGTAAATTCAGATTTTGCTTACCTATACTTAGTTTTTAATTTTATGATCATAAAACAGTATGTTCAAATGGGCACGTTTTTATGTTAAAGTTTTCTAATATGAGAACATATTTAATAGATTTTTTTCTTTCTAATTGATGTCAATGCCTTTTTTGTTAAGATGGATGCAGGTATATATGTTAACATTTTGAGACTACCTACCTGCCACTTTTTATCTAACAAGGTATGTTCTGTACCTTTTCCCTTTCTAACATTTAGTGTATCTAAACAACATTCAGTTGTTCCAAGTCAAATATTTGAGCTGGAGGATGGTACAAGTAGCTACAAAGATTTTGCAATGAGCAAAAATAATCGCTTTACAAGTGCTGGCCAAGCATCTAAGAATATAATCCAGCCACCCTCATGTGTGCTGCATTATTACAATGTTCCGTTGTGTGTCACAGAAGAGACCTTCACAAAGGTAGGCACTGAAATACAAATTGTGTAGAATGTTTCTGTTTTTAAAATGTCATACTTTAGCCTCATTTTAAAGTCTTGCTCTGTTCAACCTGCTTTTGATATTAGTATTTTTTTATTTATTTGGTACTTTATATATTATAGTTCATTCTGTGATCATTATATTTTTCTGGCCTCCATTCATCTGTTTTTTGTTGGTTTGTGGCTCAGTCTTTATGAGAGTTGGAATTAGAATGAGACACGCTCACTCCTACGTTTAGAAAGCTCTTACTATGTTCTTAATTCTCACCCATAAAAAATTTTATATATCCCTGCATTTTTCCCTAACTGGGGGAAATGCTTCAGAAAAGAATTGATTTCTGGAACTCCACTCCCTAGTGGTCAACAAGAAATTCTGGACAACCTTGAGAAAGTATATTTTAGTCTCAAATCTGTGGTTTTATTGTATAGCACTAAATTATTTATATAGTTTATAGTATATCACTATTTTTAATTGATTTCCTCAAACAGCTTATTAATCTAGAAACATGCTTGATTTAGTTTATTCATGCTAGACTCAAAACTCAAGTGCTGCCATGAAGTTTACTTTCTAAAAAATGAAAAGGTACGAATATTGTTTTGGCCATATTTTTAATGGAGTTGTACATTTTTTTTTGACAGTTGTGTAATGACCACGAAGTTCTTACATTCATCAAATATAAAGTGTTTGATGCAAAACGTAAGTGCACATTCACTTTTTACATTTTCTGGTTAAGTTGATGACAAGCAAATAACAACTGTATTTGTGTTTGTTTGTTTTGTTTTAGCTTCTGCCAAAACACTTTCTGGGCTATTAGAGTGGGAATGTAAAACTGATGCAGTAGAAGCCCTTACAGCACTTAATCACTACCAGATAAGAGTTCCAAGTAAGTTCAGTTGTTGTAATTATTCAATTGGAGTTACTGTCAGAAACATTGACAATAATTTAAAAATAACATTTAATTCGTTTTTTGTGTTTTGTTTTTAAAATACAGAGAAATATGAAGAAAACAAGGCATATAAACCCCACAACCCACATAATCCTTCTGTTAGTTACCTATTTCTGTGTAACAGACTATCACAACATTTAACACCTTAAAACAGCAAACATTTATTATCTTACTACTTATGGAAGGTCAGTAATCTGTACAGTTTAGCTGGGTCTCTCGTAAGGTTGTAGTCAAGCTATTGTCTGGGTTTGCGATCATTTCTGGTCTTGACTGGGCCCTGGAAAACCCACTTCCACCCTCACCAAACTGGTTGTTTGTGGGCCCAGTCAAGCCACATTATCCACTTCATGGTAGCTGGCTTCCTTCAGAGTGAGTGATGCAAGAGAGATAAGACCAAAAGACCCAAACAGAAGCCACAATGTCTTTTGTAACCCAATATTGGAAGTGACATACCATCACTTACATTGTATTCTTCTGCTCACACAGACCACCATGGTACAGTGTGGGAGGGCATTACACAGAGCGTGAATACCAGGAGGTAGGGATCATTGGGGCCATCTTGGAGGCTGGCTTCCACAATTCCTGTTGATTTTTTCAGAAGAAAGCAATACATTATATATGGTTAAAAAACACAAACAGTACAAAAAAGTACAAAATGAAAGTTAAGCTTTGTACACCTTCTAATCTTTTGTCTCCTTTATTCTTCCTCCCAGCATATATATAGCTACATTTTAGAGCTTACACAAAATGGTTCTTCTATATATACTATTCTGTGCCTTGCTGTATATATTTTGGAGCTATTTCTATATCAGCACAATGTAAAGCTACATTTTTGTTTCTTAAAGCATTTATACAGAGTAGCTATTCTAGAGATGTAGCACAGTTTATTTAACTATTTCCCTACTGATAAACACTGATTGTTTTAGATTGTTGTTTTCTATTTCTGTAATAGATATTTTTATCGTTGCATTTTTTTGTGTGTGTATTTGTGGGGCAGTTTCTTAATAGTGGAGGGCATAAGATTTGTATTTTGGAAAATGTTGCTAGCTTGCCTTTTAAAAAGTTTGCATCAGTTTACATTCCTACCTATGGTATATGAACATGCCCATTGCCCAACACTCTTATCAACATGAGTATTGTCAGACTTTCAATTTTGTGTTAATTTGTATTAAATGAAATTATCATTCTTTGTTTATTCTCTCCTTTGTGGTAAATGGCCTTTTTTTTTTTTTTTTTTTTACTATGCAAAGAACACTTACACTGACATATTTAGCTTTTGAAACTTTGTGCTGATTTACTTTGATCCTGAATCTAAGGAGTGTTAAAACTTTATTTTTCTAAATAACAGGAGAAAAATTATTAATTTTGTTAGGTGTGATAGTTAAGGAGAAAATAAAGAGAAATACACACTGAAGGATTTATGGGTGGAAAAACATATCTAGGATTTGCTTTAAAATATCCCAGGCCCCAGATTGTGTGGAGGGTAGGTAGATGAAATAAGACTGCCAGATGTTGACAGTTGAAATGAGGTGATAGATATATAAGAGTTCATTATACTACTCTATTTTTTTTATGTTTGAAAGGGTTTTTTTTTTTAAAAAGTTAAATAAGTAGGAATACTTCTCAGTTTACTTCTAGTCACAAAGTAAATTTTAAGTAGTGAGTCAGGCTTAATTTTTGATAGAAAGTTTAAAAGGGCTTTAAAATTATATGCATATTTGAGATACATTCAAGACAGTGTATGAATTACAAACTCCTTTGAGACAGGGACAATTATTTCTGTTCTGTCCTCTGCATGCAGTGTGTTTTTTATTTTTTTAAGTTTCAGGTATCTTCTGCAGTGTCTTAGAAATACTTGTTGATGTGTATGCTTTTTCCTTTATACAATTTTTTTTTTCTTTAAGGAGCTACAGCTTTTTATTTATTTTATTTTTATTTATTTTTTTTTAGGGAGCTACAGCTTTTAATACTAAACTTCTGGTACATTAAGATACCAGAATTGCTTTTTTTGCATAATCAATTGATAAAGAGTTATCTCTGCTTGGTCTGAAAGGTTCAAGAAAAATGCATGAAATGGAGGTATTTTTGTGGATTATACCCATATTTTTTTAAAACTAATTTTAGAATTTATATTCCCTGTTGATTAGAGATTTAATACTACTCTCCTGGAACTTTTTCAGCTTACTGATATCTTCCTATGCATTCCAGTTTTGTCCCACTTCCAAAGCTATTTTTGAGTTGGCGTTTATAGAGGAATAATCATTGGTAATATTTTCTGCAAAGTGACCTTTGCTCATGGACATAGGCCTAATCCTGATACTATTTATCTGTAATAATTATCTGGAAAAAAAAATTGAGTGCCTTCTATGTGTTAGCTAATGTTTAGAACAGTAGGAATGGAGCAATGGACAAAGTCCTTGGCTTAATGGAGCTTACCTGCTAGTAGACATGAATAAAAGTAATCTTCCCCTTACCTTACATAGAAATTTTCCGTCTTTATATTCCTGCTTCAAACACTATAAAAAGGTGAAATAATTTACTTTGCTAATTCAGGGTAATCTTGAAAGTTAGATGAAATGAACTATTAACTTTGTTTTTTAAATTTTACAGATGGTTCCAATCCCTACACGTTGAAACTTTGCTTTTCTACATCATCCCATTTATAAGAAGAGAAGAGCATGTTAGAATTTATGTTCACCTTTATTACAATTTTAAAGCTATACTTCGTTTAAAACAATCTAAAATGGTTGACCTAATGTTGCCTTGCTTACTTTGACTTAAGATCCTGTTCTGTAATAAATATTTTGCCTTGAGTAAATTTGTTGTAAACTTACATATGGAATTGTTTTCATTTTAAAATAGAATATCATAATGTAGACTATCTACAGCTTCCTTGTAGATTATGCAAATATATGATTTCTAATCTTATTATTTTTCTTCCACAGTGAAAATATATTTGCATTCTTAATGCTAATCTGCAAGTATTTTTCCATTGTGTATGAGATTAATGCAGGTGAAAGTATTGCATTTTAATATAGAATTCCTATTATATGTTTAGATGTTTAAGTATGTTGCAGTTATTCATATTAAACATAACTTGTATTTATTAAGTATTTTAATCAAGTTTGAGAATAACATTACACATTAAGTTTTAAGTACTACAGGTTTAGTTGATTTTGTATTTCTGAAAGGCTAACAGACATATGGATACACTTGTACAGTATGAACTCAAACTTATTTAAATTGGTGTGGTTTTTTTTAAAGTCATTTTCCATTTGTATTGACATGCCTCTGTTTCTAGTTCCAGTTTGGAGGTTTTATAAAGTTACAACAATGAGTTAATGTGTTCATCTTCATTGGTTGCATGTGACTTGACCTTGAAAACACATCTGGTATTTGGCATTGAGATTTTAATAGAAGTTATGATTAACAGTTTCTCCTTTAGATAATCTGAGATCCATAGATGGTCTTTAGGGAGTCTGTGAATCCTCTAAAATTGTATGTAGAATTTTGGGTACTGCATTTTTATTTTTTACTCTTAAATTCATCAGTAATATATGTATTTTTCTATATGGTGCAAGGTATAAGGATCTAATTTTATTTTTATTCCAAACAGATAGCTATTTGTTTCAACACCATTTATTAAACATTCTTTCTCCCAGTGGTTCTGTTTTTTTTTCTTTTATTCAAAAGTAATATTCTCATACATAGGCAAGAAAGATGTAAGGACGACACATGGTATTAAGATACTATAACACATTTGTTATCAAGTTCATAGCTTTTTCATAATAGAAAACTGATATAGCCATTTTATTTTCCTCTTTTAAAAGAAGGGAGAATATGTTTCATCTACCTAGAATAACTGAAGTCTATAGTTGGCAATAGCAGTTTTGTGATCTTAGTTAAATGTGCATATAGAAGTTCCACTTAGATCTTTTGTAGAAGCCTTATCTTGAATTTTAACGTAAAAAAAGGCAGTTTGCCTTAATCCTTTTAGAAATGAGGCAGGGGTTTTAAAAAAATTTAAGAACTGTTGAATAGGAAATTTAGATGGAAACTAATGTTTATTTCCCCTTAAATTTTGACAGCAGTGGACCAGTGTCCTTTTAGTCCTCTAAAGATCTAGAAATACTTAAATTCAATCTAGAAGCTTTTTAGACCCTTATCATGGAAACTAGTAAGTTTTACTAAGGGCAACTTACGTACTCATGTTCTTCATTTATTATCTACTTAATATCTAAGTTTGCTAACTTTACAATAAACAAAGCTTTTCTTTTTCTCCCTTTACTTTTCTACATTTGTTGCAAAATTGAAATGTCTTAATTTTGAAATAAAAATTTTTTAATTAAAATACAGCTAACATACATTATATTAGTTTTAGGTGTATACCATCGTTATTCAACATTTATTTACCTAAAGAAGTGATCACTATGATAAGTCAAACCACTTGACACCATACCATGCTATCACAATATTATTGACTATATTCCCTATATATATATATATATACACACACACATTATATATCCCCATGACTTGTTTTATACCTGAAAAATTTGACCTCTTATTCCCCTTCACCTTCCCCCGCTTTTTATTTTTTTTATTTTTATTTTTTTAGCTGAGCCATCCCTGCTACCTATTGGCAGCTCAGCGGCAGCTCAGCTCAGGCTGGGAATCGAACTGCTGTTGCTCAGAGCTCACACTCTTGAGCGAACTCTTAACCAACAGCCATTCGGCCGGCCCCCTCCTCCCCCCCATTTTTTTTTTTTTTAAGATTTTTATTTTTTTAAAGATTTTTATTGGGGAATTGAGGGGATGGGAACAGCGCTGGGGAATTGGGGGAAGGGGAACAGACAAGTTGCTTTCGTTTTGTTCTTCAGTCTAGTTGTGGAGGACGTTGCTTCACTGGCCCAAGTTGGCACCATCATTGCGCTCTTCCCGGGCGAGGCGGATCAGTCACCGGCTTCTGGATGGCCGTACACTGTGGCTGCTGGCCGCTCACGCTGGCTGCCGGCTACACACGGTAGCCCATGGCAACCCACTGCCACGGGCTGCAGCCACCTACCAGCTCCCTTAAGGTTCAGCCTTGATAAAGCCTCATGTAGTATGCAGGCTGGGTGAGGCAGGGTCTCAGGGAGTCACTAGAGTAGGAAGAGTTGTGGTCACCAGGTTAATGTAAATTCTGGTTTGGTGCCAGTGCTGAGCCTGGAGCTACTCAGCAAAAGTCTCAGAGTACGCTGAGTCCAGTCACCGCTTGCCTGGGGTCTGTGAGACTCGGATAGCTTTCCAAAAGAGTGCAATGCAGGCGGAGTGCAATGGCTGCTCTAGGAGAAAGTGCTGCCCGAGTTCAGGGAGTTGGGTGGGGTGGGATCCAGCTCAGCAGACCAATGAGATTCATATTTGGCCATAAGCATAGGGGGCGGGCTCAGCACATTAAATATGGCGGCAGCCTGCTGGTTGCATGGGAGGAGGACCTCACACAGGGAAAATGTCGAGTGTCCTCCAGCCCTTGTTTGAGGCCACGTAACTTAGTCTCAGTCTGCCCTCTGTATGTCTCCAACACAGTCCAAGTTACTGTCTCCGCTGGTGCCCAAGGTGTGTGCGTGGGCCCTTTAAGAGGATGCCTGAGTTGCCTGCAGCTTTTCGAACCACCTGGGTGGTCAGAATCCCCACTGTTTGTCATAGCCAGATGTGGGGGCTCCTCTTTCTGGCACCAGTACTCAGGACTGGGGAGCCTGGTGGGCTGAGGTCCATTGCTCTTCTTGGGGAAACCTCCATGGCTGAGATATCCCTCCTGGTCCTCAACCACCACACGGAAGTTGGGGTAGCCAGTTGCGTGTCTCTGCCCCTCCTACGAGTCTCGACATGGCTGCTTATAACCTTGGTTATAAAACGTTTGCAGCCTGACTTCAGATGGCTCTTCAGGGTGATTGTTCAATAATTTAGTTGTTATTCTAATTTGTTCACGGAAGGAAGCAGGCACGGTGTTTTATCTACCCTGCCATCTTGTATCCCCTTCCCAGTAAAAGGTGACTTCTGAATTTATGTAATAGTTGTCTCCCCCTCTGAAAACTGGTATGGATGTCAGTGTTATGAATTATTTCGTGTCAAAGATTTTAGGAAACAAGCCTGTTTAAAGGCCTATTTAATTTAGATATGCTTTAAGTGGTATTGAATTTTAGGTATGAATTCTATGTTTTAATGTTCTGTCTTCCCCTTCCAAACTAGTTTTAGTTGTTTAGTGGGGCCTTGCTGACCTATGCAGTGGTGTGTCAGCCCTACACTGTTGTTGTCAGTAATTTCTTTGACAGTTTATTTGGGCATCACCACTGTTAGTGGAGTTTGCTTTGGCAAGTCTCCCTTTTTCCTTAGACTTAATGACAACATTCTTCTCCTGTGCTATCTCTCTGCTTTTAGGAGACAGTGAAAGAGTAGATTTTTTAGAAGTAAGGAAATAATATTAGCTTTGAGTGTATTTTAATATTGAAATTTCATTCCATATCCAAATCCCATTAAATATTTGATAACAGATTTCAGAACTGAGTTATGGAATATAATCTACCTTTTAAAGGTCATTGCTTTTTTTCTAAAACAGCATTTCCATTAGTGAAAAGCTGATACATTTTAGTTCAGCTAATCACCTTCCTAGCCATCTCACTTTTAACATGTTTTGAACTTGAAAAAAAATACAGTGGACTTTGCTTTCCTAGTAAAAGTTTCTTCAGTATGAAGCCCTTTATCTGAGGGGCACTTGAAATTCTTTTAGTTTTAATTTATGAATGAGAAAGAAACGGTGAACATTGCTGCCTCTCCATCCTCCCCCATTTTGTAATCAGGTTTTAGTGAACCTGACTGACTTAGTCACATCCCTCTAGCCCAGTGCTCTTAGTAAGGGAGGTACCGCCCCCTTAGGGGACATTTTGATAGTTTATAGGGGTGCTTTTTTCAATTTGGAGGATACTACAAATATTCGATGGGCAGGGACCAGAAAGAATTGTCCTTTATGTCCTACATGACTTTCCAGTATCCCATGAGATATTACCTGATCCTAGACCCTAACTCTGTTTTGTATATACAAACACAAAGTATTTTTTGTGTACAGTACACCGAATTTTCTAGGAATGTAACTACCTTGTAAATCTAGTGAAGATGATTGTTTTGTTTAGAATATTTCTAAGAGTTGTTCACCATTTTGGAAAATTGCATCATCAAAGTGGTATTTGAGTTGACATTACAACATATCAGGGTCTGTTCTCATTTGTAGTAGTCACATTCGTCTCTATGTGTTCTATTGCAGCTATTCCTGAGTGTCACTATGCATTTGATTATGTTTTATTTTTCCTTTATATTACAGTTAGGGTTTTATTTTGTTTTTCTTCAACGTGTGTGTGTGTAGGTAAGTAGGTGGGTATTATACCTATCTAGGAATATTTCAGCATAATGAAGGGGTGTCAGACTGTCTGAGCTGAGAACCATTGCTGGAAACAAAGTAATCGGGTTCTGAGTTGAACAGGTAAACCTAGGCTGATCGAAAGACAGTGAAGCCTAGGATTTGTTGAAGAATGGGTGAGGAGATGCTCTCCCCAAGGGTTGTGGTCTGCTCATGTGAGGTAGGCCTGGGACTGCTAGAACTATTTTGCTATCTTGAGAGAAACTAGCATGTGGAGGAAAAAATGATACACAGAAGAGCGTAGAACTTAAAGGCCCCCTAATTTAGGCAGCATGTGGAGACCTCCGTGAGCATAGGCTACTCTGATCACTTCTTGCTCAGTAGACCCCTGTCTTCAGAGTTCCCTTTTCAGTTTGAAACCATAACTTTGTATTTTAAGAATCTCCAGTTGCCTAAATCTCACTTTTAGCCTCTCTGATATACAAACAATAGCCAAATGAAAGAGCATTGAGACTTGTTTGACAAGGGGCCCACCCTATTTTTAAACCTGAAATATTTTTATCTTTTAGCCAGTCATAGGCCTATGACCCATCTTATTTTCTCATGTAAGTATTACCATGAAGTTTAAACGTAGGTGAAATATTTCTGGACACTTTTTATACTGAAAATATTCTCTAGATTTTTTTTTTCATGCGGGAATTGAACTGGCAACCTTGCAGTTAATCTCTGTAGATTTCTTAATGACTCCCTTTATTTTCAAGAGCAGAAAGCTTATAAATATTCAACTTAAAAATTCTCTCTCTTGTATAACTTAAATCCTTTTATGTAAATCATATATTGGGTTGTCGGAAAAGTCATGACGTATTTTGTCTGTTTTTCAAAGGTCATTTATTTATATAAAGAATTAAGATCAATCAATGATATATTGCCCGTTTTGTTCGATAACCTTTCAGTGAGCTTCATCATTCCTTGTTCATAGAAGGACCTGTCTTTATTTGCAAAAAACTGAACAAGATGCTGATTTACAGCCTCATCTGAATTGCATGTTATACCACGCAAGGAGCTTTGAAGAGAGTGAAACAAGTGGAAGTCTGATGGCGCAAGGTCAGGCGAGTATGGTGGGTGTGGCAACACATCCCATCCAAGCTCCAATCAGTTTTGATGGGTGATCAAACTTGTGTGTGGTCTCACGTTG